AAAAAAAGTTAAACAGGGGCACCAGGGTGACTCAGCTGGTTGAGCATCTGACTCTGGATTTCAGCTCAGGTCATGATGTCACAGTCATGAGATTGAGCCCTGTGTCAGGCTCTGAGCTGGGCATGGAGCCTGCTTAAGATTCTCTCTCTCCCTCTCCCTCTGCGCCTCCCCCTCTTACACATGTACACTCTCTCAAAAGAAAAAAAAAGGAGGAAAACTAAACAATTCAACAGAACTGCCATGTGATCCAGTAATTCCACTTCTGGGTATATATATAAAATAACTGAAAGTAGTGTCTCAAAGATATTTGTTCACCCATGTTCATAGCAGCATCATTCACAATAGCTAAAACATGGAAGCAACCCCAGTGTCCATCGATGGATAGATAAGCAAAATATGGTATATGCACACAATGGAATATTATTCAGCCCTAAAAAGGAAAGAAATTCTGATGCATGCCGCAACATGAATGAACCTTAGGGGCATATGCTAAGTGAAATAAGTCAGTCACCAAATGACAACTACCGTATGAGTCTACACACATGAGCTACTCAAAGACAAAACTGTCCTACGATAGGTCTTGCTACTCTGAGTGACTAGGGATCAAGGACAAAAGTACTCTCGATGTTGCTTCGGAAGGGCCAATGTGTCTTCTGTCTGGGACTGGGAAACAGGCTAAGCTAAAATGCACTACTGGCTCCAGGACTCATTATCTCTGATGACTGCACAACTGGACAAAGCGTGTCTTGGCAACCTATTTTCGAGGCCCTTCTGACTCACAGACAAACCTCATCCCGAGAAGGCACTCAGGTATGGAGCTCGGCAGGCCTCCAGGCCTCCCCGCGCCTCCCAGCCATCTAGCACACCGGGACCGCCCACAGCTGCTCACCAGTGTTGCGGATGATGTAGTCCAGCACCACCAACCGCTCGAACTGCAGCAGTAGTTGCCGGTTAGTGTTCTCAGGGAGAGGTTCTGCTTCAAAACGCCGTAGCCAGTAGTCTGCGTCTTTGTAGCCTTCAACAAAGAGCTGGAATGAACCAACCTGCAGCCAAAGAGGAGGAATAAAGAGACTTCCCTGTAGCTCAAGTCCAAAGAGCCCAGGAGTAAGCCAGGTCACCCACAAGGCACTGTGGAGTTTATATCAGAAAAAGGTCATGGGAGTGCTTGCCCAATCCAAATTCAAGAAGCCTATCTAAATGGGCCAGAGGAGTAAAGTGAGAAGTTAGGAGCTCTGTTCTCTGGAAAATTATTCCCCAAACCTTAAAAATGAGGAAGACAGGAGCCTCAAGGCAGGCTATTCGCATGTCTACATGCAAGTCTCTAGGTGCCTTGTTTCACCACTTGGATGGTTATGCCACCATAAATCATCACCTTTGCAGGTGCAGTTTATACCTTTGGCGGTAGCCCGATGCGATTAAACCGCTGCCCAACTTTTGGCACTTTCTCTAGTGCAAGCCGCTTGCCCCTGGACTTCACTCGGTCAATGGCACTATAGTTGAAGGTATCGCTGGCCAGATACACTACCTATAGTGGAAAGAGAAGAGATATCTAGGTTACAATCGAGTATAAGAACTATACCATAGGAAGGGAACAGCTGGACGCTCACCAGTGCTGCTCCTCTCCCAGGGCATGCAGGAAGAATGCACTTCTCAGCCTTTCTAAGGACTAGTTCAGGCCAATGGAATGTTGACAAAGTGATATATGTACATCACCTGCAGGGCTGGCCCCTAAAATCTCCCATGATCCTTAGTTCATACTCTCCCATCTGTGCAGCTGGAAACGAAGGGCTCTGAGATGGCAAAAACACATCATGGAAGGATTTTAGATCTCTCGTTACTATGTGGAGTGACAAGGGATCTAGGAGAGCTGACTAACTGGCATGGATCTATTATATGAGCAAGATCCATTAAACCACTGAGACCCAGGGTTTGTTATAGCAGCTTAGCATGAATTCCTCTAATACAGCCACCACCTGGGTTAGGAGAAGAGGGCCCAACACCTAATTTCTGTCCACATAAAAACAAATTGTAATTTACTCCATACCCTTATATTTAATTTTGAATTTTGTACTATGTACAATTATTCACATTTAAAAAATAAACACTAGGGGCGCCTGGGTGGCTCAGTTGGTTAAGCGGCCGACTTTGGCTCAGGTCACGATCTCACGCTCTGTGAGTTCGAGCCCCACGTCGGGCTCTGTGCTGACAGCTCAGAGACTGGAGCCTGTTTCAGATTCTGTGTCTCCCTCTCTCTCTGACCCTCCCCCATTCATGCTCTGTCTCTCTCTGTCTCAAAAATAAATAAACGTTAAAAGTAAAATAAAAAATAAAAAAATAAAAAATAAACACTAGGGGTGCCTGGGTGGCTCAGTAGGTTAAGCATCTGCCTCTAGATCTCAGCTCAGGTCTTGATCTCAGGGTCATGAGTTCAGGTCCCGTGTTAGGCTCTATACTGGGCATGGAGCCTACTTTAAAAAATAATAATAATGATAAAAATAAATAAATAAATATAAACATTAAAACTTGTTTTAATTTTTAGTAGATTACTATATATAGGCATATTTATGCAGACTGTATCTGGAATATTATACAAGAAACTAGTACTAATAGCTGCCTCCAAGGAAGGAACAGAGTGGCTGGAAGACAAGAGGTGGGAGAGAGGCTGAACTACTCTGTTTACCCTACTGTGCCTTCTGATCTCTACACTAGATGTATGCATTGCCTATTCTAAAAAACATTTTTTAATGGGCCACCAATATTACACTTGGTTGTTAGGGTGCCTGGGTGGTTCAGTTGGTTAAGCCTCTGACTTTGGCTCACGTCATGATCTCACAGTTCTTGAGTTCGAGCCCCACATCAAGCTCTGAGCTGACAGTGCAGAGCCTGCTTCAGATTCTTTATCTCCCTCTCCCTCTGCCCCTCCCTCCCACCTCCCTCAGAAATAAATAAACATGAAACAACAAAAAAAAGATAACTATGACTGATTGTCAAATTATAGTAATATCACTACAATCCGTATGTGTCCATTATCACCCTTTATCACACTGTCTTGCGATTATCCATTCATTTATCTAACCTCTCTCTTAAGATTAAAGAGATTTGGGGAAAAAGAGATCATATTATTCACATTAGCATCCTCGGTACCTAACAAAGTGATTGGTACATGCTCATTAAATATTTATTAAGTGAATGTAATATTTATTAAGTAGATGCATATTCTTTCGGAGATAGCAACAAGTGAGTTTCAGCATATAAATACCTAAATTAAATAAAATTAAATTTAAAAGAAAATTCTTTCTTTTCCTAAGCCTTGCAGAACTCATTACAAATAACTAAATATTGTGCCTATGAATCTTAGGGATGAAATCATTCCCTCCCTCCTTACCCATCCATCTGTCCATCCAATGTTAACAGAGTATCTAAAATGGATGTGCAAGTTCCTATAAGTTGGCATTCTCTGCTGAGGAAACACATGCACAGGAATCAAGGGGAAAAAAGGCTTTCCTAGGGACTACCTTGCCAGTTTCCACAGTGACAACCCTTGCTTTTCTCAAGTAATAAACTACCCTTCCCCCCCCCCAGTCAGATTTATTTTCTGTCGTTCTCTTTAACAACCCACTTTTTCCGTATGATTAACGAAGCTATCATAACCTGAAACCCCACAGGAACACAGAGCAGAGACAGCTACTGAATGAGAACTAGAGCCTTACTATTTGAAGCTCCATCACAACATGAGCCCTGTTTCCATAGTGACAGATGCTCTAATCAACTGGATAGAATCTTGTCAGAAGGGTGGGTAGGCTGGGAGGGGAGAGACATCCTCTCATTATTCTTTAGCAACTCTTTGTTAAACTTGCAACGTTCTAGCTCATCTCAGTCTCATGGAAGACAAGTATTTTTTTTATTGTTGCTGACTTTCTCATGCAAAAGATCATCAGGCCACACCAGAGATGGGGAAGAATGGGATTTTGGGGGGTGACATTCTATTATGATTAGCATTGACATAAAAATACTACAGGCTAGGACGTGTGGAGTGTTTATATTGTGCAAAGGCACTAGGCTACGTGTTTTACATGGATTATCCTGTGTAATCTTAATAGCTGCCCCATAAAGTAGGAACTATTTATATCCCTATTTTTATAGTAAGGAAACTGAGCAAGCAGGGGATATGGGGGTGTTTTAAGTGACTTGCCAAGGGTCACCCAATAAAAAGCTGCAGAGTCAGAATGTGGCCTCAACCTCTGATTCTCAGGCAGTGCACTCCAGAAGCACAAGCAGAGCAGGCACATGGCTAGGCGCTGACTATTTACCTAGTGAAGAAAGGGAATGACAGTGCTGAGCAAGGAGTATTTAAAACAATTTCTAGAATCTAGGAGGGGCCTAATAGGAGGAATTCTGGTTAGGCAGGAGATCTTTAAAGCATTAATTATCATACAAGATGTTCAAAGTGTGCTATTTAACTCTGTGTACAGAGAGAACTAAAGCATAGAGGGAAGGAATGAACTGTACAAGACCAGGCAATGAATCAGATGTCCACGGGAGCTACAAGCATACGCTCTCCCCACGGACCTGAGTCGGGGGGATCTCTAGAATTGTCCCTCCTGGTTTGATACTCGCTCACTGACTCAACTGGCACTTATGGAATACTTCCTATAAAAACAGCACTTTGCTAGGTGCCGAATATAAGAGGAAATTTCAAGAAATGGTCCCTGACCTCTACAAACTTACAAACCAGCTGGCTTATTGTTTGGAGTTCGCTGGCAAAGGAGCAGACAGTTAAACAACCACAACAATCACAATTTCTTCTAAAACACCCTGGGAAACAGAAAAAAACAGGTTTGAAGGAAAGCTTCTATCTGCTGATCAGTCTCTGCCCACAGTCTACTATCTAAACCTTCAAAGAAAATCTTAAGCAGGGGTTTTTAAGCTAGAGGCATGCTCCTTACAAGGTAAATGAGTAGATTGCAACTGCTCCATGAACCATCCCCCTGAAATTCTATGCAAACAACAACTGCAAATATATGATTTTTTTTCTGGGAACAAGATGTATAGCTTTCATCAGATTCTCAGAGGATTAAAGCCCATAGCTACAAAGATGCTCCTGCAGCCTCAGGGCATATCAGATCAGAGCTCCACCTTGTTACTAAACCTGAGGTAGCCACATACTAAATGGGTGATGATGTGTCCTTGAATGTTCATGTGCTGACCAGCAGATTCCTTCCCCTCATAACTCTTGGAAAGTTTCATGTAACACCCCGCAGTACAGGGATTCTTAGCCTGGCATCGGTAAATGTCCTGAAAATGCAAGCAAACAATTCTGTATTTCAGCATATTGGGGGGAGGGGGAGGGAATCATTATTCCCTTAGAACCTCAGCTAAGTCTATAACAAACATAGGGGATGTGCAAATCCATTCTAAGTGTGGATTTGCCTGGATCTGGGACCCTGATTTTACTATGTTCAGATAAGTACAAGAATTTCACAGCAAAAAGATGGATGAGAATTCCAGGTCAGTTCCCTGCACAGGTTCAAGCCAGACTCTCATCCCATCCTAGATTCCTCCTTGCCAGACCTTGTATAAGTGATTAGCTGACATAAGCTAGTCCATTCTAGATTATCTCTAAATCATATAGCTCAGAAATCTAAAAGAATGAGCTATAAAAGTAGCTAGGTTTCTAACCAGTTTACAGTTACCAGGGATTGAAAAACACAGGGAACCCATAAGTGTGCATCAGAGAGTCAGTGAATTTCCTGAAATTGTGTGCAAAAATTTTATGCGTATCCTTCTCAGGATGGCTTCCATCAGATGATCAACTCATGAGCCTAAATCTACTATCTGCCCCCCCCAAAAAGGCTGAGAACCCTAGACTCAGGACATAAACAGCCCTCCCTGGACCTAAGCCCCATTAACATGTAGCAGGACTTAGGCCCAGGAAAACTCTGGATAGGCAGTAAGGTTCCCTGGAGAGACAAGTCACTGACCTTTGTACGGGGTACAATGTTGAGTTCCAGTTTTTGGTCCACCAGACTGGCCCCTGCCTCTGACAGATAGCCCTGGTTGAGGACAAGGCAGTCACGGCCAAAGCAGCAGGGACAGCATAGCTTCTGCAGCCACTTGGTCCACTTAGGATTAAGGTGCCCATATGGCTCTTCATTCTTGGGTTTGAAGACAGCAATGATCTTCTACACAGAGAAAAGAAAAATAGGATGTCAAAGGCAATTGATTCAAGTAGCTCATAGACCAGGTCAGCAAGACTCTAGAAAGAAATGAGAAGGCACAGGCAGACAATAGCTATAGACAGACACTAGCTTCTCCCCAGCTTGTAAGGGGAAGTTACAGCTCATGTGTGCAGCTAAGAAACCCAGTGCCAGAAAGGGCTGTGGCCAAAGAAGATGCCAAGTCTAGTATACATGGTAAAACGGACTCAAAGCCCAACTTCCAAGGTACATTCATACAAACTGTTGCTCTGCATCAATTAGGTAAAGACTCAAAAAAGTATCAGTTGAGAGGAAATTAGTAAAGTATTATGGAATGAGATTAAGGAAACTCCACCAATGGCTGATTTCCTCTAGCAGTCTTACTATTCCACTCACAGGGTATTAACAAAACCTTAAAAAGTTTAGGAAAGACAAACCAAGAAAGCAATGGAAGGGAAAAATCACAACAGGAAAAAGAATCTGCTACCTGGTTAGAATGGGGTTCTTTTAAGTAACTCTGGTAAGCAAGAGACCAGGACATGAGAGTCCCCAAAGATTAAAATCCACCTTCTCTTGCAGGTGGTAACTTAATCCTCAGAGGTCCTTGGAATATGGGACAGTGAAGCAATCTATACACTATGGACCTCCCTCCTGAGGTTTTCTTCCCCAGGCCAGGGAGCCCTCCAAGGTTATTTCACATTTACCTCATTCCCTCCAGTCCCCAACCTGGTAAATATGAAGAAGAGGAAGAAAAGTAAATATGCTATCTCAGTGATTCATCTTCATATCATATGACTCTCCCTCTCCCCTCACCCCACAGCCAACTCAAGCTAGTCTGGGTCATAAGACATTTTCCTGTGGGTGTCACTTCCTGACAGGCAGGTCACAGCAAAAAACATACACCCATCTGCCTGCATTAAGTATGTACTCATATTAGGAACTGGCTGGATGCGTGTCTCCAACAATAATTGGTCCATCTGGAGGCCAGTTCTTTCAAGAAGCCTTGCAAGAATTTGAGAGCAAGAAAAACACAGAAGTCTCCTCCCTCCAAAGGAAATCAATTTATTCTTTTTTTTTTTTTAATTTTTTTTTTCAACGTTTTTTATTTATTTTTGGGACAGAGAGAGACAGAGCATGAACGGGGGAGGGGCAGAGAGAGAGGGAGACACAGAATCGGAAACAGGCTCCAGGCTCCGAGCCATCAGCCCAGAGCCCGATGCGGGGCTCGAACTCACGGACCGCGAGATCGTGACCTGGCTGAGGTCGGACGCTTAACCGACTGCGCCACCCAGGCGCCCCGGAAATCAATTTATTCTTAAACACAAACAACCTTACATATTCAGTGGGAAAAGTCAAGTGCATATATTCATATCCTAAGTCTTCAGGATTACATTCTTATCCAAAATGGCTAGCAAAAGGCCTAAGGGACAGCAATCTTCTTGTCTCCGTACCCCCTGGAACCCTGGGCTCGGAACCAGACAGCAGCAATAGCAAGGGGCTCCTGTCACTCACAGAATGACTCATGAGTCCATTGTAACTCTCTGGAACTGGGCAGTAAAACCACAGGACAACTTGAGGCATGCCCTACAACTCAACAGTCAGTTCAACTGAGGTACAAAGTGGAGTTCAGCAAGCTGGTCTCCAGTGGAAGGACGACTGAGACATTCCTTCTATTAGTATTTTTCAGCTACCCAGACTGAGGCTTAAATACTTCCATTAAATAAAACAGAACTCTGGGGTGCCTGAGTGGCTCAGTCAGTTGAGTGTCATGACTTCAGGTCATCATCTCAAGGTTGGTGAGTTTGAGCCCTGTGTCAGGCTCACTGCTGTCAGTGCAGAGCCTGATTCAGATCCTCTGTTCCCCTCTCTCGCTCTCTCTCTCTCAAAAATAAAAAAATAAAGGAAATAATGTAAATTAAAAAAAAAAAAAACAAAAAACAAGAAAAGCAGAACTCGAAGGCCAAGATTGCAGCCAAAGCATCATTTACAGACTGACCTCTCAAACTTCTCAATTTCCTTCCAACATAAAGAGAATCAGAAAGCATTTCAACAACTCTAAAAGCATTAGTAATCATCATTATCTCGGAATCACACAGGTTTCATTAAATAAAGACGTGTGGACTGGATAAAGGAGGAATGGTGGGTGGGAAGGATGGAGGAACCAAAGGACATTAGGCAGAAAGGAAGACAAGTGCCTTTCAGGACTAAGTGTGGCCTCAGTTCAATTCAATTCTGTTAACATTTGCTCAGTACCTCATTTGTGTGAGCACTACAGGCTTGCCAAATGATACATAACAGCATTGGGCCTAATTTCCAAAGCTAATGTGAACTTCACATTTTCAACTGTGTTCCTGAATACTCAAGGATATCTCCTATTCACAGAAAACAAACTCTAGAACCATTCAAATTAGAAAGATACCCACCATTATTTGGTTGAGAAAGAAAATGACTACTGCCTAATTTTTCTGTCTTCTCTCTTCCCTACTATAACTTCAATTTCTTTATTACATTTAGTAGTAAGCTTTGGTTTGATGCTATTTTTATTTTATTTTATTTTATTTCATTTTATTTTATTGTAATTTTATCTTATCTTACTTTAGAAAGACAGACAGAGAGAGAGAGAGACAGAGAGAGCAGGGGAGGGGCAGAGGTGGGGAGAGAGAATCTTAAGCAGGATACACGCTCAGCACAGAGCCTGACGCGGGGCTCGATTCCACGACCTTGGGATCATGACCTGAGCCAAAATCAAGAGTTGGGGATGCTCAACCAACTCAGCCACCCAGGAGCCCCTGATGCCAATATATATTTTTTTGATGTTTTATTTATTTTTGAGAGAGAGAGAGAGACAGAGTACTAGCAGGGGAGGGGCAGAGAGAGAGGGAGGGAGACACAGAATCTGGAGCAGGCTCCAGGCTCTGAGCTGTCAGCACAGAGCCTGACGCGGGGCTCGAACTCACAAACTGAGATCATGACCTGAGCCAAAGTCAGATACTTAACTGACTGAGCCACCCAGGCACCCCGATGCCATTATTTTTAAAAAGGCTTTCCTTAACATCCCCTTACTAACCCTCTTTAATAAAGAGGGTGAAGTACAGGTAGTTTAAGCAACAGCAGTCAGTGAAGCTAGGGATAAAAACAGAACTGCACCGGAAGAGACCACTCACCGGCTAGTGTCAGAACCCACAACAAATACTAAGAGACCTGGAACTCACAGGTTTCTCCCATCTGTCCAGCAGCCCTAAAAAGGAGGGTATTATACTGTGCTAACATTTAAGATAGTTTTGGGGTGCCTGGGTGGCTCAGTCAGTTGAGCATCTGACTTCGGCTCAGGTCATGATCTTATGGTTGGTGAGTTCCAGCCCTGCGTCAAGCTCTGTGCTAACAGCTCAGAGCCTGGAGCCTGCTTCGGATCCTGTGTCTCCCTGTCTCTCTGCCCCTCCCCTGTTCGTGTTGTCTCTGTCTCAAAAATAAATAAACATTAAAAAAAAGAAAAGATAGTTTAAGCATATCACTCACTGTTGCACGGTGAAATATACAGACACAACTTTTAAAAGTTTTTGTTTAGGGGCGCCTGGGTGGCGCAGTCGGTTGAGCGTCCGACTTCAGCCAGGTCACGATCTCGCGGTCCGTGGGTTCGAGCCCCGCGTCAGGCTCTGGGCTGATGGCTCGGAGACTGGAGCCTGTTTCTGATTCTGTGTCTCCCTCTCTCTCTGCCCCTCCCCCGTTCATGCTCTGTCTCTCTCTGTCCCAAAAATAAATAAATGTTGAAAAAAAAAATTTTTTTAAAAAAAAAAAGTTTTTGTTTAATTTGTTAAACATGAAGCTGATGGTTCTCAAACAATTTTGGTCTCAAGATCCCTCTAAACTCTTAAAAATTAGTAAAGACTCCCAAAACTTTGGGGGTAATGTAAAATCTACATTTGCTGTATTAGAAATTAAAACTGAAATGTTATGACTATTAATTCAACTTAATAATAAAAATAGACCTGTTACATGTTGACCTAAGTGATATGTTTTTATGAAAAATAACTATTTTCAGAAACAATTTTTAGTGAGAAGGCAGGCACTATTTTACATTTTTGCAAATCTCTCTAGTGTCTGGCTTAATAAAAGGCAACTGTATTCTTAACATCTTCCTTAATATTCAGTCTGTTTCAATATCACACATCATGTAGCCTCTGGAAATCTCCACTGTATACTTATACAGAAGTGAGAATGAAAATGGCAAATAGTCTTAAAATTGTATTAAAAATAATTTTGACCTGTGGACATCTAATAGGATTCCTATAGGTCCTTTGGCCCCACTCTGAGAACTGCTGCATTCTGTATTAGCAGTTGGATAGAAATAGCACTGCCTGACTTGGCTATTTAGGCAAAGAAGCCTTATTTACATGCTAACTCTCAGAAAAGAGAGGGATGGGCTACTCTAAATGTATGAGACCCTAAAAGAAGATGGGATCCAAATAGAAGGCAATAGAAGAGATTTAGCCTGTATTTATTTTCCTGTCCACTGCCATTGACCCAACCTTTCTCATCCATTACAACTTGTGGTCTGGGACAGGTCCCTAGAACAGACAGTAATGATGCTTCAAAATCTCAGGGGCGCCTGGGTGGCTCAGTCAGTTGAGCATCTGACTTCAGCTCAGGTCATGATTTCCCGGTTCACGAGTTCTAGCCTCATGTCGGGCTCTGTGCTGACAGCTCAGAGCCTGGAGCCTGCTTCGGATTCAGTGTCTCCCTCCCTCTCTACCCCTCCCCAACTCGTGCTCTGTCTGTCTCTCTCAAAAATAAACATTAAAAAAAAAAATCTCAGGAACTACATCTAAAGATGACATAGAAACTTGACTGCCTCTTAACATTTAGGTAAAAAACAATAATTATCCTGTTTGAGACCTTTATTCTTTATCAGGCTATCAGTGTTACTCTCAACCACGTGTAAGGACATCAGAATTTCTTGGGAGGGCACAGGTAGTTGGAAGAAGCACATTCAATATTATAACATAATTTTATATTTGAAAAATGAAAAAAGAAAAACCTGTATCATTTTATGACAAACTCTTGGTCGATAAGTTTGTTTAAAAGATTGAATATTACTGATACAAGGCCTAGGTCCTAGCACATGTGATCAGTATCTGTAAAATTCTGAAGCAGATACAAATTAGCGTTAGCTAATAAATTACTATTCTCAGTGGTCATAAAATCTTCTCAAAATTATACTACTTTTGCTTTATTCAATGCCATGTGTCCAACAAAGCCTAATCCAGGGGTCAGTGGGCATACAACTTAATAAAAACCAAAATACTCTGAACCCCTGCTAAGCAACAGGAACCACGCCAGGGGCTTTCATGTGGGATATCGCATTTAATCTTCTTAGTAAACTCGTGAATCACATGCTATTCTATGATTCTTGGAATATGAACATCTAATATTACTAGCCTCGCAAAATAAAAAGCTTTAAAAATATTTTCACAGGTGATTGAGCTTAAGACCAGAAGCACAATAATACAAGTGAGGAGGGTAATATGAGCGTTCTCTATCAGGCCTTCTGATCTAGCCTTTTCCATCTTACTGTTCTAGGTCCCCATTTGCTCGCCCTGAGGGAGAAACCATCCTAAATTGGGAAAGGGAATCAGGGTTATTATCTCCAAGAACCTTCTAGCCTCTCTAGCTCCAAAAGCAGCTCTGGCAGAAACAGCTGGTTTCCCCAAACTCTGTTCCCCCTTCTTCCTTGGACATAGGACTCCTGATTTTTAGTGGGGCAAAATAAAGACTATACTTTCCAGCCACTACTGCAGTTAAGTTCTGGACAATGGGATGTAAAAAGAGTCTGGTGCAACTTCTATGAAACGTCTTGAAGGAAGAGGGCATACTCTCCCTCATCCTTTCCTTCTTCCAACTGGCTGAAAAACAGACCAGTTGTCTGCAGTCTGAGTAGCCATCTTGGATTATGTAGTGGAAGCCACATTCTAGGGATGGCCCATCAGCTGGATGGAAGGAGGCACATTGTTCATACTGCCATGCCAACCCTAAGCAGCCTATAGACTTCTTTATGAGAGTTAGGCGTACTTTTATTCAAGGCATTGTTGTTTTAAATTTTGTCACACATAGCCCAATTTAATCCTAACCAATATGGTAAACAAAAAGAAACCAAAAATTCAGATGACTGACTTCGAGGCAGCCCAGCATAGAGGTTAGGAGCATGAATTCTGGACTCAGTAGGCCTGAATCCTGAATCCCACTCACTAGATGTTAGGACCCGAAGAAAATTAGTTATACTGTGTGTCTCAGTGTCATCTGTTGGAATAATAATAGTACCTACCTTCAAAGGTGTTATAAGTACTAAGTGAATTATTATTTGTAAAGCATTTAAAATAGTATCTAGCATATAGTAAGTGCTACCTATGTATTTGTTCAATAAAATAAATAAACTAATTTGGAACAGGGCCAAAGACCACACGAACAACTACAGTGAGTCTGTGGTCCCTAACCTGACCCACCACAGCGTCGAGGAAGTGATCCTCTGCTCTGAACCATATTTTACTCAATGGGACTAAGATGGTTATATTAATAAGTTTTGCCAGGGCATATGTGTTTTGACTTCCTCTCTACGAAAGGACAGTGGCCAGGAAATTTTAGACCTTGGGATCCTGCAAATCACCAAGAAACATACCCACAGTCTGTTATTCTCCATGGCCCATGCACAGAGGCGGTAATACTTTACCTGCCAGGGAGAAGTGAAAGATCTTATTACTCCCACCTGTCAGAGCACCAGGTCACTTCTCAGCTGACCTGACACACTTCCAAAAAAACCGTAACAATGTCATGAAAGAAAAATAAAAACCTTCCTACTGCTCCTATACCTATCAAAGATACTCAGCAACTCCTTACATCAGCCAACAAGCTAAAAAAAAAGAAAAGAAAAATAAACAAAAAATAAAAACCACTTATATAAAAGATGAAAGCATCTTGCTAGCATTTAGACCTCAGGAGACCCACTTTTTTTCTAGAAGTAATGGTTCCCCTTTGAGCTTTCAGTTTAACTCACTCCTCCCCTTACTTGAGGGACTTGCAAAGACTTACTATTCTCAAAGTTTTCCCCACCTTTTCCCCAGCTCAGTTTATGGTAACTGAGTTGACGGTATATTGCTTTCTGGTTCTTGAGAATTCAGGGACAACATCTGGAAGAATGACCAGATCATTAAATGAACCTAACCAAGAGCTACAAGTCAGTCCATCCTGGCCACTCGGCACTCCTATCAGAACAGCACGCCAGCCATGTAAAGAGTTCACACAGGAGAGATGCAGGGAAAATCTGTGGGAGATTTGACAATCATCATTTTAATAAGTATAACAATAATACATTTTTCCAAGAAACCATTCTGATCTATCCAAGAACTCTGACAGGGAAAAGTTAATACTTTTTGACCCACTGATATTCCTCTGATCCCTCTGGTCTTATATAAATGCCTTAAATTCTTCTGCAGCTATCAAAAGAATAAAGGTCACCGCTCAGCTGCCCTGGTCACCCCATGTCCCATCCCAACCCATCTCATCCCCATCCCCCTATTTATACACATGCAGGGGACAAAATAAAGGCCAGCAAACACTTTGCCTTAGCTAAAAAGCGAACTGCTGATAGTCCTAGGAGAGAAATGAAAGTAAAATGTAGCAGGTAGTCCTGTGTTTCTAAAACTCCACATTCTTTACTGAGAAGACATGAAAAAGAATTTGAACAATTTCCCAGAAGTGAGCAATAATCAAGGCAGATGAAACTGGTAAGTCCACCCACTTCATCACCGACGTTTGCCAGTAAGAGACCTGGGGCAGTGGTAGACATCCCCACGACACAGAAGGCTGGAACTGAACCCTCAGAGGCCCTGATGGGTCACCCGTCCTTCTCAATAAACAGGGACAACGCTGGTTCGGTCCAAAAAAAAGGAAATGGGCCCAAATCTCAAATCTGTAGTACAATGGACAACGCTGGTTCAGTCCAAAAAGAGGAAATAGACCAAAGCTCAAATCTGTAGGACAATGGCCGAATAGCAGTCTCTGTAGTTTAAAGCTAAGGAACCTACTAGAAAGCAGCATCTCCCCGCGCGTCTCTGTCGAGAAGCCGATTGTCCCACCACACCGCTGGGCCCCTCGCCTGTATCTGGTCAATTTCTCTTTTTCATTCTCCGCTCACTCCTCCCCCACCAAATAGGTTCTGATTTATTTCTTCATTCCGCAGAGCTTCTCCATCTCCAGTCCTCAGGGGCATTCCAAAATCTTGCCAAGGGGCTCTGCACTGTGAAGTTTCTCCCTTTTGCAGCCTTTCAACCCCCCTTTTCCCCGTGGCTGTGCGAAGCTGTTAATTCCCCCGGACAGGCCCACCCTCCCCGAAGGCAGCGGCGGCAGCCCCCACCCCGCTCTCACCCCCTGAGGGTCCTTGACGAAGTAGCTTCCGCTGGAGCCCTGGTAGATGCGCTCGGGGAAGATGCAGCGTTCGATGGCCAGCTCCGCCTGCCGCACCACCGTCTCGAACTCTGGGTCCTCCGGAAACTCATTCCGCTCGCGGTGGGCCTGCGCGGCGTGCGCCGCCGCCGCCGCCTGAGCGGCCAGGGCTTGGGCCTGCGCCGCCACGGTTTGGGTCTGGCCCTGGGCCGCCGCGCCCCGAGCCCGATCCAGCAGTGGCTGCCGCTCCCGGTCGTGGCCTGGCGAGCCCGGCGGAGAGGGGGCCGGGCCGGCCGCCGCCGCCACTCGGACCGCGCCCCCCGGCACCTGCGGAAAGTGAGCGCCCGAGCCGGACGGGAAGGTGTAGTCCGGGGGTTGGGCCCGCTCGGGGGACACCAGTGGGCTCGTTTCGTCCATCCCTCAGGCCGCCGGCTCCGGGTCGCGGTGCGCTCCACACAGCTGAGCCCCGGGCAGGGACCAATCGGAGACACCCCCAACCCCCTCCTGACCAACCAGGTCGCGGCGCCTTGCCGGCCCCGCCCCTACCTAGCCTGTTTACTTGGCGACGCGTAGGCACGACCCCTCGCGCGCGAACGGTAGCCAATCAGAACCACTGTCTACGTAATCGCGCCCTCCGCATTTTTCGCCCGTCACCGTCGATGAAGACCGCGCATGCTCCAGGAGCCAGACCCAGGTCAGACACGCCCCTTGCTCTTACCAGCCCCGCCCCGCCCCTAGCTTCCTGTTGCTGACCTGTCTCTGGGAGCTTTCAATAAAGTAGCCTACCTAATCAGTCATTTGTTGAGTGCCTGCTATGAACCAACCAGCTGTGAAACTGGAGAGATCTAGTCTTTGTATCTGCATTCATTCAATCATGCACTCATTCATAAAATATTTATTGAGTACCTACTATGTTCTAAAGTGCTAGCGAGACAAAAATGAAGCAAAGAAAAATACCTAATCTGCCTAAATAAAAAGGTTTTTAAAAATCACAGCCCTAATGCAATTTACACAGTGTCTGGCCCGGATGCTTAATGCTTATTTGTTAATTGATGGAAGATACGGTCTTAGACTAAAAAGTTCCATGAGGTAAAAGTCCATGACTGTTTTATTCACCGCTGTAAAACCTCAGTGTCTAGACACAATAGGGACTCAGTATATTTTTAGTAGTGGAAAAGAGAAGGAAGATCAAGCTGAAGACACACAGCCCTCTGAGGCAGCAGAAAAGGAGCCAACAATGAAAACTGAAAACTCCATAATAGAAGTTCAACGATTTGGGGGTAGGCCTTCAGCAAAGGCCTTAAAGGGGGTGTGTGCTATGAAGGAATAATGTAATTATATTACTGGAGGAAAAGAGAAAAAAGAGAGAATGAGAGTCATTTGAGTTTGAACCCCATCTGAACACTTAAGAGTGTGTTTTCTCATCTGTAAAATGGGAATTATCCCTTCCTCAATTAAATAAAAATTAAGAGAAGGTATGTAAAACACTTAGCATAGTGGTTAGTACACTCAACAAATGGTAGCTTTTTTATTGTTGATGCTGTTTTTGTTTTGTGCTTAAAATAACCAGCAGACTAGACTATGGGTTTTCGCAAGAGATGACCAGCCAAATAGTAACCAATATTTCATAATCATTCTTTCTTGAATCAAATTATTGCCACAGCTAGTAAAAGTACTGAATCGAAACAACTTATTGTTTATTTTGTTTTTGTTTTTTGTTTTATTAAGTTTATTTATTTATTTTGAGGCGGGGAAAGGGCAGAGAGAGGAGTGAGAGAAACCCAAGCAGGCTCCACACTGCCAGCTCAGCCCCTGATGTGGGGCTCAAACCCATGAAACCTTGAGATTGTGACCTGAGCCAAAACCAAGAGTCAAATGCTCAACCAAGTAAGCCACCCAGCCACCCCGAAACAACTTATTATTTAATTACATGTATGACAATGTCTTAATGTTTTTTTGGCATGTAACCCATTTTAGGCAAAGATCCGTACAGTTTCCCCTTTCAGTTACAAAACATATATTTCCCTTCCCTATACAGATATCAAATAATTCAGTAGTACTTGCCCTTGTGTCCGAGGGATCATAGTCACAGAGATGATCTCTTGGTATTGATCTCATTTAGCCCCTAAGCTTCAAATTGTCAAGGAAAGCTGCAAGATTTAGAGTTCTCCTTTGAATTTTGGGTCTTCTCTATGGAAAACTCTCAGAATTTATTTCTGAGTCTACCCCTTAGAACTTGATTTTCCTTTTACTGAAAAAAAAGGAGGGGGGATCAATACATTCCCTATTACCTATGAAGAGCTAGCACTCACCAAATGCTACACACGTGCCAGGCATTATTTTTTGTATATTCCATGGATGTAAATGGACTACATGTAACTGGCATTACAGCTCCTATGATGTTCGAAACTGAGTAATGTATGCAGCTGGTCTGTGGCAGAGCTGGATCCAAATCCAGGCACACCAACTCAGTGCTTTTAACACTATATTGCTTCTTATTAAATATCTCTATGGGATGTGTCTCATATGAACCCCCTTTCTGTCCATTTTCATGGATGCCACATTACTTTTGAGACTCTCAAGATGTCTTAGCTATATTATTAAAATAGCTTATGAATTTGTTTCTCTGCTTCCAATCTCTCTGATTATCTCTGAGTATCACTACCAGATTAATTTTCTTAAAATACTGGTTTCCTTTGGGCTCCCGGGTGGCTCAGTTGGTTAAGCATCCAACTTCAGCCCAGGTCATGGTCTCACGGTTTATGAGTTCAAGCCCTGCATAGGGCTCTCTGCTGTCAGCACAGAGCACACACTTCGGATCCTCTGTCTCCCTCTCTTTCTGCCCCTCCCCCATTCTCTCTCTCTCAAAAATAAACAAACAGGAAAAATGAGGAGACTGAGCTAAAAGATTAAAAACAACAACACTGGTTTCCTTGTGTCACTGCTCTGATCAAGAAACTACATTTTTTGGGGGCGCCTGGGTGGCGCAGTCGGTTAAGCGTCCGACTTCAGCCAGGTCACCATCTCGCGGTCCGTGAGTTCAAAGCCCCGCAGGCTCTGCACAGTGACGGGCCTCGACACGACCTCATTCTGTGTCTCCCTCTCTCTCTTGCCCCTCCCGTTCATGCTCTGTCTCTCTCTGTCCCAAAAATAAATAAACGTTGAAAAAAAAAAAAAAAGAAACTACATTTTTTGGGGGAAAAAAGAAACTACATTTTTGGGACGTCTGGGTGGCTCAGTCAGTTGAGCATCGGATTCTTGATTTCTGCTCAGGCCATGATCCCAGAGTCATGGAATCAAGCCCCAAATCAAGCTCTGAGATGAGCTTGGAACCTGCTTAGGATTCTCTCTCTCTCTGTCTTTCTCTCTCTCTCTGTCTCTCTCTCTCTCCCTTTGCTCCTCTCCCCTGATCATGAGGTCTCTTGAAAAGAAAACATTTTCATTGCAGTAAAATATGCATAATATTTATCATTTTAACCATTTCACAAGTGTACAATTCGTTAACATTAAATACATTCACAACATTGTGTAACCATCACCACTGCCTATACCCAAAACTTTTTCATCATCCCAACAAAAACTCCATATCCATTGAACAGTAACTCCCTCCTCCTCTAGTTCCTGGTAACCTCTATTCTACTTTGTGTATCTATGAATTTTCCCATTCAAAACACTACATTTTGCAAAACATATCTTCCCCCTAATTTTTCTCCATAGTTTAACCACAATCCATCCTTATTTCATCAAATTTCGATATATATATTCTTCAATGCAATAAGATCTATTTTCTTGACACTCCATTCTCTCAACAACTAATTATATCTATATTCGGTACCACACAGTTTAGCATGTTTAACCATTGAATGTTAGAGCTGGTTGAATCTTATAGGTCTGCTTGTCCAATCTCATTTTACAGGCTGGAGAGCTTAATAACTTGTTTGAAGCCCCACACGTTTGGTGGCAGGCATGGGATTTGAACACAGAATCCAAGTCTTTTAAAATAATGTAAAAATGGTGTTTATTGAGCACTTATACACTGTACTGTCATACAAGTCCTGGGGAGTCTTTATCATTATTATTATCATTTTCATTTTCTATTCCACAGATGAGGAAAACCCCAATTCAGAGAAGCAGTTTGCTTATTCTCTTCATGCGTTTGCCTTCTTTTAATAATTAAATATAATCTTGAATTTTACATGTACATGAATCTTTTCTTCTCCACATGGAGGCAGTAAGTTCCAGGAGGGCAACGATCTGTGTCTTTTCTAGCTGCATTCACTTTGTTCAGTAAATAAATACTGTATACGGATAAACGGATTGGTGTGCACGGTATTTGGAGGATTTGCTCCAATATTGACACTATATTTATTTATTTTTTTTAATGTTTATTTATTTTTTGAGGGTGGGGGCACAGAGAGAGAGCCGGGGGGTGGGGGGGGGGGGAGAATTCCAAGCAGGATCCGTGCTCTCAGCGCAGAGTCACAGGCGGGACTCCATCTCATGGTCTGAGATCCTGACCTGAAGCCGAAATCAAGAGTCTGAGCTTAAGGACTGAGCCACACAGACACCCCAACACTATATTTTAAATACAAAGGATCTGAGTAATGACAACACAAATCCTAACAACGAATGAATGCAGAAGTGTCCCGATATCACAATGCTGGCACAGGGTTGACGCTCATTCAACTGCAGTTGCCTAGTCTAGCATGTTACCATCTACAAAACCGAACCTTAAAAGCCAGATTTGGGTTCTGCCCTTAAACTCCAGGGAGGGGCCATTTACAACTCTGAAGGTCCGCACAGGATCGGAGCCCCTTGAGATGGTGGTCACTGTTGCTTCTGACCCAGGTTTTGTTTTGTTTTGTTGTGTGTGTGACATTTCGGCTAGGCTGTCTCTGGGTAGGTAAGACCTGAGGTCATCACCAGGGTGGCCAAGGTGGGATCATGGGTTCAGCCCCACCCCTCTCTCGGATGTTTGTCCAGAGATCCAGAGACTCTCCGCCCCGCACAAAGATGGCGCAGAGTTCGGGCCGGACCAATGGAGAGTGGCGTTGCTCCCGGTTGCCTAGGTAACAGCCAATGGGCAGCGGGAATTGCGCCCAGTGCGGCCGCCGGGGATGGCAGCGTCAAGTGGGGCAGGCGCTGGTGGAGGTGGTGGAGAGGCAGGTGGCAGGGGCGATCCCGGCGGAGCGGCGGTCCCGGCAGCTGGATCCCCGCGTCGGGGCGTGACTGTCATCCCGAAAGGCGGAGCTCAGGTTGGCTGGCAGCGCAGGAGGGAGGGGGCCAGGAGAATGTGGTCGGTGAGGAAGGGACTGAGGAGACCATCCCGAGATAACCGGCTGGGGATCGTGACTCCACCCAGGACGCGCTGACCAGAGGGTGGGGTCCATAGGGTGTCAAACCCAGACCTCCAGTCT